CTCCTCTTCCTCCTCTATCTCCTTTTCCTCCTCCTCCTCCTCCTCCTCCTTTTTGTGGTACTGGGATTCAAAACAGGGCCTCACGTATGCCAGGTGAGCACTCTACCGCTGAGTTACATCTTCAGCCCTTAAATTATTTCCTATTTGGCTTTTTAACTAGGAATTTTACTATGTTCAGTATTTTGAGTTTGTATTACAATGCAAATAAACTATGAAAAGATCAGGATTGGGTAAGAGCAAGGAATTGTTATTTTATTTGTTTAGATTACACATTTTTCCAGAAAAAAAGTGTAACTCTTGTTTTTTTACAAATTTAAAAATAGTTATGACTTCAATTAAGGTATTACGTTTGTTTTCTCTTTAAAATCCAACATTTTGTATAATGTCACTTTGGAATTTGCTGTTTGACTCACGTCATTAAATGTTAAGCATCTAATTATTACAAATGAAAAGGAATATGTAAAAGAAGTAAGGAAATGAGAAGGAAAAGCATTTGGAGTTATTTTCAGAACTGGGGGAGGGTGGGTTGTATTTTCTGTTAATCGCTGTATTTTATGATTAGAATCAACCTTGAAAAGCATTGGAACAAAATTTTGTGCCTTTGCCCGTGATATAATCCCTAAATCTCTTCACCAGAGCCTCACCCAAGGAAGGTACTTACCATGTTTGGAACTCTGGTGTGAAGGTAGGAGCAGAATAGATTGGGGTTTAGCATCCTGATAATCTAAGCTCATCATCTGAGCTCTACTCTGCTAACATAAGGTGTAGAATCTTCACTACTGCTTGTTTTCCCCAACCTTCAAATGGAAGTAACAATTTCCACCTTTTAAGAAGCTGTGAGGCCAAATGATTCACATATTTCAATGGTGTTCCATACGTCTGATTTCTCTTCCCTTTAGTGACACATTCTCTTCCCAGGAAGCCCCATTTTACCTCTGCACACGACCCTCCATTCTTTTCTATAGTGACCCTGGGAACTGCCTGCCTGTCATTCTACAAGTTCTTGCTGAACAACTTGGTCACACAGTGAACTCAAAACCAGCATGGGTTATGAGACCTTGAGACCTTGTCTCAGAAAACAAGCAAATAAGTAAACAACAAGGAAAAAACAAAAGAAAAGAAAAGAAAAGAAAAGAAAAGAAAAGAAAAGAAAAGGAAGAAATACAATCCGAAAGTTAGGCATCAGTTTGGGATCACCAAACAGCTCTGGTTGGGTTAGTAACATCTCTGGTTGGGCTAGTAATCAGAGTGTGGTAGTTACATCAGGCCCCAGCAGAGGTTAGGAAGCTCCACAAAAGCCAACCTTCTCAAGAAACACAAAGACCTTAAACAGGCAGATCGATAAGACTTAAGAAACCTGGCCACTGTCTACTGCCAGTCTGTGGTGGGAAGTGAGAAGACTGGACCGTCCATGCTGTGTCATCCAACAAGATAGCTGCCGTCAACTCTCACAGAATGCTGCTGCCCGACTGATATGGGGATGTTTTCCTTACTCTCCTCAGTGCCGTATGGCCAAACATTAGGAACGAGCGCTAGGAGACTCTCACTACTTCAGGGGCACCCGGCCATTTGATACTGTGACATGACTTTCATTGTGTGACAGTATTCCTGGGAAACATGAACAAATGTCTCCTCAACCCCAGATAGAGAACTGGCAACAGATCAAAGTACCAATACCACTGAAGTCAAACTTGGTGAACCAGGGAGTTTATTGAGCTACTTATACAGTGTCGGCAACTTGAAGGCAGCTGTATAGCAGCAGGCCCACCCAACAGGGGTGATGGCTCAGGAATGCTGGGAACCTGGAGCCCTCTGCATGACTTGGGGATCGCAGAGTCTTTCCAGGCAGCTCATCTGGGCAGGATCTCCTCCCTCAGCAGTTTACCACTACTATAACTTTGTGACAGAGCCTTGTGAGTCTTCTAAGTTTCACTCTTCAGGATTTGTCAAGTCTTTTATGTCTGTTGTGTCATGAGCCTCTCTCCAGGAAGCAAATCTTTAACTTGGAAGATACTGCTTCAAGTTCTTGGGGGCAATCAAGGGCTGTTTGGGGAGTCTCTTGGACTACCCTAGCCAACAAGTTGAAGGGAGGTTTTTCCTGTCTGGCACTGTTTCTTGTTTTATATAGACTTCAGCTATACACATGGACTCACTGTAGTAGATATTGTAGAGCTACTGTATGTGTAAATTTTTCAGTAGGCTTTTGAATACGTTTCCCTCTGATTTTTTACACCAGCAAAGCTCCATCATGCAACAGAGGTTAATGAGCACAAAGGGCCACAAATGGCCAATGTGTAGAGAGTAAGAGTCTGCAGAGTGTGGGTACATAGACACGACTCCTATATTAAACCTACCCACCCATGCAGGGCTCAGGGACCACTGAGGATGAGGAGCAGAAAGACCGTAAGAGCCAGGGGAGGACCACATGGAAATAGAGTCTTACAGGCTCCTGGAACCTTTCTCATATGAACTTACGGCAATGGTGACAGCATGCACAAGACCCAGGCAAACTGAAGCAGACAAAAACTCAGCACAGAACTAGGGAAGTGGGCACAGGCCAAAATCTTAGCCAAAGAACTACTGGGCAACTGATTACTGCTGGGTGAGGAGGAGCTGATCTTCTTTAAGGGAGGAACTCTAGTCTAGATAGACTGACTAGTGTCCAGTGGATGAACTTTCACTGAGGGACGTCTGGGTACACTAACTTGACTCGATAGACCTTAATATATATGACAAAATGCATGAAATTCAGTGGGTGGGCTATGGGAGGGTGTCGATGGGGAAGGAGTATAAAGATCATTATGAAGCTGTGCGTGATACATACAAAATTCAATAAATATATATATAAAATAAAAAATAAAACAAATTAAAAAACAGGGTACTGCCATAAGAAAATTTGTCATCTACGTATATGTTGGACTGCACTGATAGCTATCCTGGGACATACGTAATCTAAGGTCCACAGGTTGGAGATGCTTGGACCATTGTCACAGTCATAAGGCCTCCCTTAGCTGTGTGTTGTGATCACATCATATTGATGAACCTGAGCTAGAGCAGTCCAGGGTGAAATGCAGCCTGTCCCAGATCCCAGAGACTTCTCTAATTCATCTCCAAGTGTCCTTGAAGTAGCAGCTGGGATAAGTATCCTGTCTCCTGCAATCTGTCCTCATGACACAAATTCTACTGTTTGCCTCCAGGCTTTTTCTTTCTAGCATAGTCATTCATCGGAATAGAAATTCCAGACGCTGACTAGAATTACAAATGTCTAATGAACACAGATCACAGGGTGTAAACTCTGACTTCCCTTAATTTAGAAAACACAGTCTCGACTTTGTTTAAATCTCATGATAGTGTATGGATTTATTCAAGAGATCTATAAACCTGCTGAAATTGTATGAAAGATTTTGTGGAGTTTGAATGAATGTGCATGGCTTATAAGAGATTCTTAAAAGAATAAAATTTGAAAGAAGATTCAAAAGCCACAATGAACTGTACTTGTGCCTTTGACATTAGCTCTGGAAGGCAATCCCATTAAAAGACTGAGCAGTGCTGAGCTTAGTCATGACTCAAAGCTATTGTCTTTCCACCCATCTTCTCAATCAGAGCTTCGTAAGTTCTGCCGGGTCTTTACGTGACTGCACTCTCCCTGCTAACCCAAGGAGAGCTGTTACTATTTAACCTAAAGCTGATGCCTAATGTTTGGACCCTATTCCTTTCTCTTCTTTTCTCATCTGTTTTTAAATACTGCTTTATTTTATGTGCATGTGTGTGTGCTTGAATGTAAGTATGTGCACTGCATGCACGCCTCGTGTCAAAGGGATCCAGAAGAGGGTGTGGGATACCCTGGATCTGGAATTACAGGCTGCTGTTAGCCACCACGTGGGTTCTAGGAACCAAACCCATATTCTCTGGAAGAACAGCAAGTGCACTTGATCCTTGAGCCATTTATCCCGTCCCATTTGTTTGTTCGTTTGTTGAGAAACTGACTTTAAACTCACTGTGCAGCCAGGGGAGGATGACCTTAATCCTACATCTGCCTCTTCGGTGCTGGGATTACAGGCATGTATCACTGCGCTTGGTTTTATTTTACTCCTTTTTGATTGAGGCTAAATTCATAAAGCTATGTTTATCAAGCTTAAGGAAAACAATACAGCTCTAGGATAAGGAATTCCTTCTTTCATTTTTTTTTTCTTCTCTGTAGGTCGAAAGTTTAAGAAGTTCAATAAAGTCAGAGTTATGAGAGCCCTAGATGCCGTTGCCCTTCCTCCATCAATGGGCCTTCCGAATGAAAGCCAAGCCCTGAGCCAGAGAATCACCTTTTCACCAAATCAAGAAATACAGCTGGTCCCTCCACTCATCAACCTGTTGATGAGCATTGAGCCTGACGTGGTCTATGCAGGTCATGACAACACGAAGCCCGACACTTCCAGCTCTTTGCTGACGAGTCTCAATCAACTAGGCGAGAGGCAACTACTTTCAGTAGTCAAATGGTCTAAGTCACTACCAGGTAATTTGTACATAGTAACATGCATAAAATGGTATTGTGTTTATGATACTAGTTGATGGTTATATCATTCTGTGCAGTAATTCAACTATCAGGTAAACAGCATGGTGTGGTATATGTTTCAACAGTTTGAAGTATTTGCTACAAATCCTCAGGTGTGCTTGGGATACAGCTCAATTGGTAGAGCACTTGCTTAGTACACACATGCCCTGGATCCACTCCCTAATGACAGAGAGAGAGAGAGAGAGAGAGAGAGAGAGAGAGAGAGAGAGAGAGATTTAAATATGTTTTGGAACACACAAGTATAGAGCATATAAAGTATTGTTGGTAAATGAATTGCATATAAGAAACAGTTACATAAGTGTATATGTTCAACCACAGATATTATAGTAATTCTTAGAAAGACATGTTAACCACCTCCTTACAACATCCAATTCATTCTAAAGCCAATTGAGTCTTTTACTCTAAGATAAATCCAAATATGCCTACTCATGTAACAAATCAAAATAGTACTCAGAGCACAGTAAAGTGTCTAAAGTCTATGAAGAATACAAAATTCCTGACCAAATGAGTGATTCTGATATAGAGAAGTGAACATCCAATCGCTGTTTCCTCTAATTAATACCCAGATAAAGAAGAGATGGGCCAGTACAGTGAGAACTGCACTTATGCCATTGCAGAAGCATTTCAGTTACTTTACCATCAAGTTTTATTCTCTCAGCACAGCTCCTTAGCAGCCAAGTGGCTGGCAGAATTATAAGAATGAACTTCTCCCTTGGTTGAATCTTAGATGGCAGAGTCAGGCAAAGACTGACAATCGCTTATGGAGGCATTAAGCTCATGATTAGAAGTAGAACCCCTCTTGAAAAAGTACATGCTCCTCACACCAATAATGCCCAATTTAATTTTCTAATGCATGGCCAAGAATTAAACACATTATGTCCTTTTAGTCTCCAACTAAATTCAATAACTTTTTGAAATAGGAAATCCTTCCCAAATTACCTTAATTTTTTTATTATTCTACCTGAAAGGTTTGAAATATAATAGATGAATTGTTATTGAATGTCCAAGGTTACGTGAAATAGAAAAATAGGCTCCTGGATGTTGAATCTTCAAAAAGACATGTATTGAGCAGAGATAATAAAATTTGGTGTTCTAATAGAGAAGTAATTTTATGGAAAAGTCAAAATGCCCAGGTTTTTATTAGCTTTTTGTCTAGCTTAAGGGTCTTGGAAAGGTAGCTATTTCCATTTTTTAAAGTTCTGAATAAGTAAAACTTCCTGTGTGGTGGTTAGTTATCAAAATTGATAGATCTTTACTAAGCAAAACATCATAATAACTTTGATAAAATTATTCTGTTTTAAACTGAGCGTTTAACTGTGTTTTTAATTTTCCGTTTCTCCATCATTTGGAGATGGTGTTTTCCTCAACTGTTAACACAGGTCCCATTCCTTTGGTTTGCATTTCTGAAGGTTTTTTTATTGCTTAATAAGAGTCTGCCATCAGCTGGCAAACTGAGGGGGAAAAGGCAATTAAAAAGAACATTTATGCATTTTGAATAAATCTGTTTTTAACTTAAAATGATAATAATATTAAGAACTTTTGACCATTACACAACCTTGAGAAAAGAATGAAAAATTGTGCATTGAATTTGGTGACATCTTTTTAAATGCTGCAGAATATAATCTATATGTGGCAAACCAAAGTGATGGCAGACAAGGGGGACATTGAGATTATCAAAGTTCGTGTGGACTGTGCTCTTTTAACACCATATTTGAGAGTCGCACTGCTGAGTGAGTGTTGGGATGGTCAACAAGCTAGGGACCACTTGTCCTGGGGAAGGACTGAAAGGGATGTTTACATAATTGTGTTCACTGTCCTTCTCACTGCTGTGGCAAATACCTCACAAGAGCAGGTTAAGGAAGGAAGGGTTTATTTTGGCTCATTCAAGAGCACAGTCAATCCATCATGGAGGGGAAGGCATGGCAGCAGGAGTCTGAGGTTGGTACCATCCATATGAAGTGGGTCTTCTCTCTTTCGTTAAACCTCTTGGAAATGCCCTCACAAGCATGCTCAGACATGTATCTCCTAGCTGATTCAAAATCTGCTCAAGCTAACCATCAAGATTAACCATCATGATAATCTAGCGTTGTTTGCTAGTCTGTACTGGCGTCAGTTCACTTTAAGCATGGTTACAGTTCTTGTTCACTCGTTGGGTCAGTGAATGCCTGCCATATACCAGCTATGTGCGAGTCCTAACAATTATCAGTGCTCTTAGAAGGAAAAGCCCAGAGATGGGCTCACAGCATGAATGCATTTAGATGTAATACATCTAACATCTGAGCATCGGGGTAACACACACAGTAAACTTCTTTTATACATTTACTCATGTGCAATGAGACCATTAATTATGTGGAAAATGGACTTCTCTCAAAGGAGCCTTAATAATAAGCCAGACTCTGAATTTAGTCTTTCACAGTAAAGATGTGTATGATCTATGCTCACAAGTGCTACTACAAAACCTGTTGACCGATCTGCTTTTTGTTTGTTTGTTTTTTTTTTTGATGACCAGAAATGATGGCTGTTTATTGGGAAGCTTCAGTGTGTGATCACTGGGCCAAGTGCTGGTCCTTACTATCTGACTTAATTTTCTCAACCCGAAGAAATAGGTAGCATCTTTAGCCCCACCTTACAGGCGACCAGGACTCAGATTTCAGAACCAGATCTAGGGTCAGAGCCTGGATCCGGGGGAGCCATCCCAGGACCTCAAAACCAATTTGTCTCAAAGCATATTGGATTTCTATAGGCAGCAATTGGTGCAAGTCGGACATGGGTAGACACTTTTGAATTGTCTGCCATCTCTGATGCCTTTTTCCTATCTGTTCACTTGGGCCATTTTGAGGACTTCAAGCAGGCTGTCCCAAGCAGCACTTCCAGAGTACACAAGGGGATCCACTGACTGTGGGAGCTTTCCCAGAATCCCCATGCTGTCCTCATCCCCAGCAGGGCGGCCTGGGAAGATCTGCTCATTCTTACACAACAGTAAAGTGTATTTGGAAGTCATAGTAAAAAAAAATCAGAATGATCATCGCAATAAAGGTGATTTGATGGGTGACATAAACATGAATCTGTAGGCTCCCCAGAGTTCTTTGTTTCCTGGTCAGAGGTTTCCTCATTTCTTCTATGTCTTTACTTTCTTATTACCTTTGACCCGTTAGCATAACTGCAGCTGAATTTACTTCTCTCCAATAGTATTTCGTAGATATGATTTTTAATTTAACAGATTTGTAAAATGCTATAACCTCATGACAGCATATGTACAAACCACCTCATTGGATACCCTGCATATGACATTTAGCATCTGTCTATGAACGATTTGACACTCGATTTTTAAAATATTTTGTTTAGTAATTTTATTTTATGTGTATGAATGTATTGCCTGTATGTGTATAAGTGCACCCATGTCATGTAATGTCCGTGGAGGTCAGAAGAGGGCATTGAATCTCCTGGAGCTGCAGCTACAGATGGTTGTTAGGCTCCATGTTGGTGCTGGGACTCAAACCTGGAGGCTCCTTTCTTCTCCCCCTCCTCTCCTAGCTACTCCGAACGAGCACTCAGAATTCACACTCTAATCTCATCTTCCCCTCCAACTTCCCTGCTCCTTTCCAGATCAATCCAGGAAAGCTTTGCTTTGCATTTGTCAACCCAACACTAATCTCTAGGGCTAAAATTATGATCTATTCACAGTTTGTATGTCTAATGAGACGTGGTGATGGTGAAAACAACATTCATAACTTTATGCTTAGTTGCAAGCAAATGCTTCACCTCAACTAGGTGCTTAAGCTGGGTGTGGTGGCGCACACCTGTAGTCCCAGCACTTGGGAGGCAGAGGCAGGTGGATCTCTGTGAGTTCAAGGCCAGCGTGGTCTACATAGTGGCTGTATCATGAGACTGACTGTTCCTTGAACCCTATTAAACTAATATTCTGAAAATATTGCAAATATGTATTCCATCAAGAATGCTTAATTGTGTGCATATGTGTGGTATGTGGGTACCTGTTCACATGTATGAGCATGTGTGTGAGTGCTTATGGAAGTGTGTGAGTGTGTGGAGGCCAGATTAACACTGTCTTCCTCAGTCTTTATCCACCTCGTTTTTTGAGATCAGGTCTCTTACTGAGCCTGGAGCTCACCTTATTTGGCTAGACTGGCTGGTCAGTGAATTCCAAAGAGCCTCTTCTCTTGTCTGTGCCTCCCCTCAGCGCTAGGGCCACAGACACACATCATACCAGGCTTTCTTACATGAATGCCGGCCTCAAACTCAGGATCTCTTGCTTGCTTGATAAGCGTATCACTGACTGAGATGTCTCCCCAGATCAAGAATGCTTAATTTGTCTTCTGAATTTATTGCCATGAATATCATTAACACTTCCGTTAGTTCTATGATTTCTATAACAAAGAAAATGCCTCTTGACACATAATTTTTATCTCATTGTGTTTTAGGGGATATTTTTTCTTGTTATTGATTTGTTGTTTGGACACAGGGTCTTATATAGCTCAGGCTATCCTAGAACTTACTCTGTAGCAAGGATGGACTTGAACTCCTGATCCCTCTGCCTCCACCTCCCCCGTGCTGGGAAGCTGTCCACCAGCACATGTGGTTCACTCCTTCAAAATTAGGGGCTTTCTCTCAAACTGATTAGTGACTTTTGTATAGTTGTTAATCCAATGAGCACTTATGTTACAGAAGCCATTGACTGACTAATAATAAATATTTGCATTCGACTCAATGGTGTGCACAAATATCTTGAATCTTTAACAAGTCATGGAAACTTTATCTTTACGATCTTGCTCAAAGTGGCATTTAGTTGCTGCTAGACTCAAGACTGGAACTTACATCTCTCTGCAGAACTCCTAAAGTCACACCAATAGACAGTTCTGTATGTGCCTCCTTGTAGAAGTCTTCATCTTCAAAGAAAATAAAGGAAGATATATTTGTCTCTTATGCATTGATACAAACATATCAAATAATTAATTACCCAATTTTCTGAATAGTTCATTGACAACATTCATGTTCTGGATTTATTGTGTTAAGATTTGTATTTTTTTAATGTCATATAATATAGACATGTACTTGAAGGAGCATTTAAGTCATGTGAAAATCAAAAATTGTAAAAGTTGAACATCAAATTTTTCTAGCTGGGTAGAGTTTTTCTCCAGCAAAGTGAATCAGACTTGTGGGTGCCAATGGTATCAAAGCAAATCAAACAAACAAACAAAAACCTACGCTAACTACAAAAACAAAAAACAGAAAATGTCAGGCCCTCAAAACAGAAAAGCAAGCAAGCAGCTACTGGAGGGTCTCCAGGAACAGACAGAATACAGGCACAAACTGCACCCACGAAGACCGATGAATGTCAGAGGGTTTATCCGTCTTCGCTGGTAGCCTCCCTATTGTTACCAAACCCCAAAGAGAGGGGGTCTCTAGTCAAGCAGAGACAGGAAGGGCACACAGAGGGAGGATGCTTAGACAGGGGAGAGTACATCTCCAAAAGAAACAAAACTTACTGCGGTACATTTAGTTAGAAAGAGGCACTAGATAGTCTTGTTTCCAGCGAGACTGAAGACTACTAAGGCTAGTGCAGGCTCCGAATTGTTTCCATGACAACCATGCCATCAGGAATATGTGCAGAGAACCCAAGTGTCTAGCATATTCAGAAAGAAATGTCTGTTGCCCTCAATATGCAGTGGACCAAGTGTTATTCTGGCTTTGGTTTCTGAGTTAGGTCACTTGTAAGTGTGTGCCAGTGGAGCTTTAAGGGAAGTAGATGCTAGTTAAAAAGCTCTATGCAAAGGAGTTGATGCTCACATTAAAACATTTATTTTCACTTAACCTTTAACAAAATATTTTATTTTCACTGTTTAGCTATAATAAGTTACAAATGGTTTCCGCATTAATATTCCTCCAATATCTCCGTATACTTTAAGTATGCCCAACTGCACTTTATACTGCACAGTTCCCTGAAACATGTCCAAAATGTACTATTTTTACCCCACTTCATTTTTCTTTTATTTTTAGAAATGCTGTTCACATCATACCATTTAGGAAAAGCTGCTGAATGATGTTCTTGAGTCTTTGTTACAATTTGTATTGACAAATATCTTGATTTTTTTTCTTTAATTATTTCTCTAATGCACACCCACCTCTCAGTTACATGTTGGTCTATGTCAGGCCTTTCTCATCTGTCATCTGGATTTTGGCAGCAGCTTCCAACTGCTTTCCCTCATCCTAAGACACTACCTTGATTTCATCCCAATTCACTCTGATTCACACGGAGGTCCACCCATAGGCCAACAGAAAGACAGAACTCCAGCTGCTCTTTAATAGAAGTACACAACTTTTATACTCTAAGGCCAGGTGCATCTACAAAGTCCTCTTCTTCTCCCTCCTGTGAGTTCTTTGGTATTGAACTGGTGATTAATGAACCCAAATGTCAACATATATTGGTCATTGGGCTGCTATTATCCCTCTCCTATTACCATCAGAGAAGGGTATAAAAATAGAGTAAAAGAACACACACACACACACGCACACACACACACATACACACATACACATGCACATAAACACACACACTGACACTCACTGGTCAGTCAGTCTAGCCCAACGATGGAGTTCCAGGTCAGTGAGAGACCCATCCTCAAAAAAACAATGTGAGCGGTGTTTAAGGAACCACAAGGAAGGTCTCTGGCCTTCATAAGCACACGCACACACACACACACACACACATACACACACATACACACACATATACACACACATACACACACATACACACATACATATGCACATACACACACACACATACATACACACACACATACACACACACACACATACACACACACACACACACATACACACACATACACACATACATATGCACATAAACACACACACATACACACACATATACACACACATACACACACATACACACATACATATGCACATAAACACACACACATACACATGCACATAAATACACATACACATACACACACATACACACATACACATGCACATAAACACACACATATACACACATACACATACACACACATACACACATACACATGCACATAAACACACGCACATAAACACATACACACACATACACACACATACACACACACATACACACACATATACACACACATACACACACACATACACATGCACATAAATACACACACATACACATACACACACATACACATGCACATAAACACACACACATACACACACATACACATACACACACATACACATGCACATAAACACACGCACATATACACATACACACACATACACACATACAGACACATACACATACACACACGCACATAAACACATACACACACATACCATAACATACGCACATATGCACATAAACACACACACATACACGCACACGCACATAAACACACACATACACAAACATACATACACACATACACACACACACACCTTGTTAAACCACATTTTAGAGACCACTGAATTAAGTTTTAAGAAACAAATGTGAACAGAAAGCTGTGGAATAAACCCACAGCACACTGTGTTATTAAAGAAAAATTAGACCCAGGACAACTGAAAGCAATGATTTACAAGAAAAAGATTTTTGTTAAATCCCTCCAAGTTGAGATTCCTCAACAAGGCAAGCGCATTTCATCCAGGCATTGTCTCTGTCTCTTAGGAAGGCCTTCTTGATCTGCCTTCAGCAAGTGACTGGCACATTCTCTTTTAACCTTGACTCACACTCACAGACTTGTTTCTCCTATTGAGCTGTGAGCTGGTGAGGGCAGGGATTGGGTCTTATCTTTAGAATTCCAGCATTTCTTTTATTTATGTTTTTAATATAGTATTTTCATTAATTTACTGAGAATTTAGTACATTCATACAATGTATTTTGATCACATTTACTCCCCCTAACTCCTCCCAGATCAAATCCCCCATTCCCCAACTCTAACCTAATGTCATACCCTCTGTGTTTTGGTTTATTTTTTAATAATATACTGAGTCTAGTTTGTGCTGTCCATATACTAATGGGTGTAGAGCCATTCACTGGTGTGTGGTAGACCTACTAGGGGCCATAGCCTTAAAGAAAAATGGCTCTCCTCAAGGAGCCACCGATTATTTTATCAACAGCTCCTCAGCTAGAGGTGGGAACTTCTGAACCGCCCCCTCCTCTACTAAAATGCTGACTTGGATGATCTTATGCAGATCTTGTGCAGACAACCACAGCTGCTGTGAGCTCATGAGGGCAGGGTGTGGTGTCTAGAAGACTCTGGAAGGCAAGCATCATCTATTCTCATTCATATGTGGATCCTACATGGAATGCCAGCACTCTAACACAGCCTCGCATGTACATGGGTCTCACTACATAGGGGCTGCATGACTTTGTTATGATGATTAATTCATTTAGCACAGTTCCACATATGCTCAATCACCATGACCAATTAAATCACTTCCAAAGTTTTTATGACTGTTTCCTGACTTTTAGGAGAAACATTTCAATACCTGCTTTCGATTTTCTACACATTTCCAGCAATGTTCACACACTGAGTAAATTGTGATTATTTTCTTTTGAAATTTGTTTTGTAGGTTTTCGAAACCTGCATATTGATGACCAGATAACTCTGATTCAGTACTCCTGGATGAGCCTGATGGTGTTTGGCCTAGGATGGAGATCCTACAAGCACGTCAGTGGGCAGATGTTATATTTTGCACCTGATCTAATCCTAAATGAGTAAGTTTAGACTTTTGCTGTTCTTGTTATTATCATAGGTCTATTTGTAGGATAATTTAGAAAATTATATTACAAAATATGATCTTATGTTTTGTGTCCTAAACATATAATTTTTCTGAAAAGGTTTCTGAGAATTACCTCAGAACAGAGCTTGATATACTCATCTTTTTATTGATATGTATTTTATATGTTGTGCATATGCATGCCACCATGCCTATGTGGCAATCAGAGGACACCCTGTGGGAGTCAGTCCTCTCCTTTATGAGGGTTCTGGGGCTGAAACTCAGGTCATCAGACTTGGCATCAGGCGTCTTTACCTGCTGAGCCACTTTAATTACCTCAGAACAGAGCTTGATATACTCATCTTTTTATTGATATGTATTTTATATGTTGTGCATATGCATGCCACCATGCCTATGTGGCAATCAGAGGACACCCTGTGGGAGTCAGTGCTCTCCTTTATGAGGGTTCTTGGGCTGAAACTCAGGTCGTCAGACTTGGCATCAGGCGTCTTTACCTGCTGAGCCACTTCATAGGCCTTTATTCGTGTATATCATGTATATTCATTATACATAGTACTAGCGTTTATACAAGTATATATATATTTGACCTTGTCCTACCCCATGCCCCTGTCCTCTCCTGTTACTACTCTTCATCCCTTTAGACAGTTTTGATTCTACTTTTATGTCAAATAAACATATGTAATTTGGATATCTTATATAAAACCTAGGATCCACAATTGAAAGGAAATGCGTTTTTCTTAGCCTGACTTAATTTGCTTAATATGATGCCTTCCAATTTGAATCCATTTATCTTCAATCAACATAATTTTGTTCCTCTTTATACCTGAATAAAATTCTAGTATATGTCCATTCCTCTCTTGATGGACAGCTGGTTCTATAACTTGGCTGTTGTGAATGGTGTAGCAATAAACATTGATGCAAGTACCTCTGTGATTTGTTGACAAGGTAAATGGACCTGGGAGTTATATAGCTGGGTCATATGGTAGGCCTCTTTGAGGAATCTATTGACATCCATAGTAGCTGAACTAGTTATCATTCCCATCATGAAGGTTCCTTTGGTCCACATCCTCATCAACATGTGTTGTTATGTTTTCTTGATGACTGATATTCTGATTGGGGCGAGAGGAAATTTCAACAAACTTTCAAATTGCTCTTCCCAGATGTCTAGTGAGGCTGGACATCTTTTCACATATTTACTGACCATTTGTACTTCATGTTTTATGAACTGTTGAACTGTCCATTTCATTCATGGACTTGCTTGATTTCTTAATCTTTTTTTTTGATCTTTGCATATTCTAGATGTTAATTCTCTCTCAAACATGTAGTTTGAAAACATTTTCTCTGATTCTTCTGGCTGTCCCTTCACTCATTAGATTGTTTCCTTTGCTGTACAGAAGCGTCTTAGTTTCGTGTAATTCTGTTTGTCAATTCTTGGCATTATCTCCTGAACCACTGGATATAATGCGTCTGTGCTTATTGATATGATAATTTTAATTGTATGACTTTGTCATTAATTTGACACTTGGAGAATTTTCCTCTTGTCTCAATATATATTTTTATCTCAGGTCAATATTTTTAAATTCTTCAAAAATCTACAGAGAATATTTTTAAAATAAAATTAGACATTTAGCATATCAAATTAAATTGTCAGACCTTCATGCTTATGAAGATAATGAAATAAATCCGAAAAGATTTTGCTTGAAAGAATTGAAGTACTTTAAAAAAATTAAACACAATATCTTCATGAATATTTCTTTTTAATATTTTATTTATTATTTTTTATTTTATGTGTATGACTGTATTGCCTGCATGTAGGTAAGTGCACCCATGTTATGCAGTGCCCACAGAGGAGAGAAGAGGCTGTCGGATCCCCTGGAACTGGAGTTACAAACGTTGTTAGTTGCCATGTGGGTGCTGGGATTCGAACCCGGGTCTTCTGCAAGAACAACCAGTGTTCTTAACTGCTAAGCTATCTCTCCAGCCCCTCACAAATATTTCATATTTGATTTACTATATCTAATTAAATAGTTGTCTACATAAAGTCTTTAGATGAATAAAAATCTGTTCATGGTAATGTTTATGCTCTTCTGATGGTAAACGTTAACTCACAAGTATCTAAGTTAATACTTTTAGCTTGTATAAGTCCACAATTTACAGGTAGTTTTCGTGCTGCATTCATTCTGTTTTTTGTTTTGTTTTGTTTGTTCTTACAGTCCGTTGAAATAGGAGGGGGTTAGCATGTTTTATTTTAACAGTTCAACAAACTGAGGCTCAGGAGACCTGGGTGACAGGATTAATCCTGGTCCTTCTGAGCTGATGAAGAGTCTTTCCATTATCCCTTTTAGTGCATTTGACTAATGTGGGTGTTACAGAACAGCACATGCTGAGAAAGTATCTTAAATAAGTGGCCTCAACCTTCAGAAACAATGAGCGTTTTCAAGCCGTATTTAATGCTTGCTTTTTATTACTTTTCCTGTATCATCATACATATCCCTTAGAAAAAGTATGGTGAAGTTTCTATGAACCAAATCAATCCTCCCATTAAACTGTGCACGAGATTATCGATGCACATACAAACGCACTTACTCATCAGTGAATAGAGCACTTCTCAGCTCTGCAGTCTCACTGCTACACCCTTGCACTTACTAGATTTAGCTCTATGAAATGTCCTAATGAAAATGAGAAACAATATTCATTTTGATCAATGTGTATTTAATATCAGTTTATGTTTAAATTTTCTTTGACTCAAAAATTTAATGCCATCTTCTGAAAACATTTAAAGTTCTAAATATGAAGTTTGTTTATTAAATATATCAGTAAATTCAATCATAGGTAAGGCAATTATGAAAATCATATTCACTGACAAATTCCATCATCAATTTACTGATCCCTGTGGTTTTCTTTTTTTCTTTCTGGTTTTTCTTTATGTGCTGTGCATGGTGCAAGACAGCGGATGAAAGAATCATCATTCTATTCACTGTGCCTTACCATGTGGCAGATCCCACAAGAGTTTGTCAAGCTTCAGGTGACCCATGAAGAGTTCCTCTGTATGAAGGTGTTGCTGCTTCTGAATACAAGTGAGTAGACATACTTAGCTACTTAAGTTGTAATACACAGGAAATTTTCAAAAATAGGATCGTATAATTACATACCAGGCATAAAACTGAGGTCGTAACTACAAAGGAGTGATACCCAGACACTCGTATGGTAATTAAGAAAAGTACTTGAGGGGTCTGGAGAGATGGCTCGAAGGATAAGAGTGCATACTGCTCTCACAAAGGAACTGAGCTTGGTTCCCAGCACCCATGTTGGGCACCTCACAGCCACTCCAGCTCTAGGGGCATCTGATATCTCTGGCCTCCACAAGCACCTTCATTCATGTGCTCATACCTGCACAGAAGAACACGTCCATGCACATAATTAAATTTTTTTAAGCATTTATATTTTGCCTACTACATGACTAGGTAGCCTAGCCAATTACTTTATTTTACAATGAAGTATGATTAGATGCTTTTCTTATTTCTGCAATTCAGTTGCATTAGGCATGTATTGTTGCACTAATGCAAGCTATTCGTCCCCCACCAACCATGCATGAAAGTATTTACTGTGTAAAATGCACACTCTTGTCTGGAACGATGCTCGGTGTGTCAGGATGCAATAACGGTTATAACAATGGTTATGGAGTTCACTAATAGTATACTAGTAGTGTGTGTCACTCACAAACGGCTCAGTGAACTAGAAAGGCTCAGACTTTCTCTACACACTGGCTGCACGGTTTCTCTGCTTGGCCTGATCGATGGCATCTGACTAGAAAAGAACAAGCGTGAGCAAGTGGAGCTTTGGATGCAGGACTTGAAAGGAGGAGAGGCAGTAGGAGAAAGAGTCCATCAGGAACAATCTAACGACACATGCACCAAACCTTTTCTGTGCCTTTTCCACACGTTGCAGGTTCGGCCCTCAGGTGTACGATTGATGCTTCTGTGACTCAGTTGATTTGCCAGAGAACCACACAGAACTAAGTCATGAGGAAGAGGTGACCCAGGTGTCTGTCTCAGCAGCACCTTTGCAGATACTTTTGCTAGAGACACAAATCCCACATGGTTAGGGAATGAGGTCAGGACAGGAGGAAGTGCTAATCCCTTCAAATGAGGTGGCTCCTGGAATGTAGTGAGTGTCCTGACATGTCCTGGGCACCTTAATGAACATTCTAATGGAGTTTTAGACAGTGGGAAGAGCTACTCAAAGTGACTGAAAATTCACCTTCAAATCTAGGAGGACAAATAAGGAAACATTCCAAAGATATGAGGGGAATTGGGAATTCACATCAGTTTTTATAGAATAGGAGAAATTTGTTAGCAGAGTACATAGTAGAATTTAAGTACTATAAGTGGACATACCATAAATCAATGAATATAGAAAAAATAAATATTATTGAGAAAAATAACTTCATATTTATAGAAAAAAATTATTTGGCTCAAATAATATCTTTATATAAATATCAGATAATTTGGTTAAATGTAAACATTGAAATTATTAAAAAGCAAATAAAATATTGACTGCTTTAAAATATCAGATAGGAAATGCTTTGTAAAAGCAAACAAAAAACGTGGGTTAGAGAGATGTCTCCATGGTTAGGAGTGTTTGTTGCTCTTGCAGAAGACTAGAATTAATTCCCAGCACCTACATTAGGCAGATAACAACCACCTATGTAACTGCAGCTCCAGGGGATCTGACTTTCTTTTCTGGCCTCTTTGGGCACTTGCATACATGTGCACATACACAAGACAGACAGACAGACAGACAGACAGACACACACACACACACACACACACAAATAAAAAACTAAATTTAAAAATATTCTTATGATTTATTTTTATTATATGTATATGTGTTATGCCTGCATGTATATAAGTGTACCTGTGTCATGCAATGCCTGCGGAGAACAGAAGATCCCCCGGAACTGGAGTTATAGACAGGTGCTAGCTGCTATGTGGGTGCTGGGATTTGAACCCTGGTCTTCTGCAAAAGCAGCCAGTGCTCTTAACTGCCGAACCATCTACCTAGCCCTGGTAAACTAAATGTTAATAATGCAATAGCAAAGTTGGCAAAGGAAAAGTTTGATAATTTGATTGTTGCAAAGTTAAAGTTCCTGTTAAATACAGTTAATTGTTCCTATTACAATTTAAAGAAAAGAAACAACTAAATCTCCAGGCATGGTGGCATACTCCTTTAATCCCAGCACTCAGGAGGCAGAGGCAAGTGGGTCTCCAGGAGATCCAGGCCAACCTGATCTACACAGTGAGTTCCAGATGGACTGGGGCTAAAGAGACTCTGTCAAAAATAAAAATAAAATAAAACTTAAAGAACACCAGGATTAGGTGGCAGATGATACACATATTCTTAACAAATTTTCCTCCAAAATGACACAAAAATCTTAGTAAAGGAATTTACCAAGAAATTACTTTAAAAAGTGATTTCATATTCACATATTAGGGTTAATTAGCTGTAGGAATTGGTTGGGAAAAATAAAGAGAAGATCTGGAAAACTCAAATTAACTTGAGAGAAGATGTCATAGATAGGCATGCAGGATACACTGTGCTCATGGGAAGTAAGTGTCCATGTGAATATTATCAAATTACTCGAGAGAAGTCTGTATATGTAGGATATGAGCGACAGAAAACTGTCACCCAAAGTGTTAATATTTTGCTTTCTCTTCGGTTTGCATATCATATATGACCTTATCCAATAGAAGAAGAAAGAACCCGATGTTATCGAGGTGCAGGGATGGTAGTATCGCTTCATTAAATTTTTAAAATCTTTGCCAGGTAGATACAATTGCCTTTGAACCAAATATATTCCCTTACAGAAATAGTATCAAGAGTCAAGATCACAGATATGGAGTCACATAAATTGAGGAGGTTATATGACTTTTCTTTTGACAACCTGGTTACAGGAAAGTTCACTTGAGGCTGAAGGCCTGCTTAGATCAAATACAAGCAAAGAATTCGTGAAGCCCAGAGGCTGGGGGCTCTGGAAGTAGAGGGTGAGAAGAGCAGAGAGCGTGATGGAAACAGAAGATCTGAGGGTGGTCTGTAAGATCTGAATGTGACACTAAAGATCTGAGAGGCTGTGCAGCTCAGGAGTAAGGCAGCATGCCTAGCTAATTCTCCGGTAAACACTAAGAGGACAGGTCAGAGGCAGATATCTAAATTATTAGCTAACACGCAGAAATAAGCGAGTATTCATTAAAATGCCTCCAAAAGCATTGCACATATGAGTGCACTTACATACATGTAGGTCAAATACTCCTACACATAAAATAAAAATTGATAAATAAAAATGAATACATATAATTAGAATATGTATCAAAAGAAATCACTACCTAGCTCAGAAACCTGTATTACAAATTGCTAGTCTTGTCTTTTTAACATAACTACCACTTCTCATGGTCTTTGTTATAGTTCCCTTGGAAGGACTGAGGAGCCAGAACCAGTTTGAAGAGATGAGGTCCAGCTATATCCGGGAGCTGATCAAGGCAATAGGCTTGAGGCAGAAAGGCGTGGTCCCCAGTTCACAGCGCTTCTATCAACTCACAAAACTGCTTGACAGCTTGCATGAGGTAAATATTTCATTTTCCAGATTACTAATGAGAATTCTGTGAATTACTCTCATCTCTAAATAGTCAATCTAAATTTTACTTGGTATATGTCTTACTTTTCCTGCTGCTGTGATAAAATACTCTGACAGAGGCATTTTAAGGGAGAGAGGGTTTGTTTTGGCTCACAGTGAGGGTACAGTCCATGACAGGAGAGAAGACCTGGCAGAAGGAGTCGGAGGCAGTTGGTCACACTGCATCCATAGGCAAGGGGCAGAATGATGGGAGCTGGTGCTCAACTATCTTTCTTCCCTTTATGTAGTCCAGGACAAACACCCGGGAATGGTTCCTCCCTTTTGGTGAGTAAACGACATCATCCCTCACAGGCAGGCCTAGAGGCAAACCTAATCTAACCTAACCAAGATGATCCCTCACAAGTGTGGCTAGAGCAGTGTCTCTAGATCAGTCCAGTTGACGGTCAATATCAACCATGACACATGATTTCCTCAAATTCATGTTTGTTCTTTGATTTTCAGAGATTACTTCTATCACTATGCTCAGAATTTAAATTCTGCCTTTTTGTGGTTGTATGTATATGTGTGTGGTAAAATCAAAATATAGATATAGAAAATAATCTGTTATATCATTTTGGATGGGATTATAAATAAGCCTGCTGGTGGGAAATCAGACAATCTATATCAAAAGATAAAATCTACATGCTTTCCAAGATTCCACGTTTGAGAGCATAAAGAAATCATAAGTAAGATTTTAAATTCTTTCTGAGCTTTTTTTTTTTATCCTTTGCTGTGATGGGAAATCCAGAAATGCCCAACACCACAACTAGGTTAATAAAACTGTATCTATCTATCTATATCTATCTATCATCTATCTATCTTTCTATCAATTGATCTATCTATCTATCATCTATCTCTCTATGTATCCATCTATCTATCATCTATGGTTAGTCAAGACGTATTCGATACAAGGTTTTATTGCTGCTATGTAAGAAACCACATAAAATGACAGTGAAGGCATAAAAAAGCTACCCACTTACCAGGTCAGTTTGTGAGCCATGACTCCTCATTATGAGTACACTGCCAGGAAGATCTATTCAAATTAAACCTCTCAAATGAAAAACAGAGGGGAAAATGAACTCAAAAAAAGGCAACATGAAAGATAAAACAGCAGTGCAGAAAACAGGAAAAATACATGGATCCACAAAGACACGCAATGGTACGGTGTCTAAGAAAGAACAGAAAGCATTCAAAAAAGAACATTTAATAAGGAAATGCTTTTGGAGAATTAAGTGCAACAGATCAGATATTAAACATTCAAAATTTGAAATATAAAGGGCGTACTCAGAAAATAATTTTTAAAACTTCAGACTTGAAAAATTAGAGAGAAAAGATAGAAAACTTAGTCATGGAGGTTTCAGCCTCAAATTAAAAGGAATTTATAGAAGAAAGAACACAGGAAAAATAAGGCGAGATGATTACACAATAATAAAAGGAGCTCAAATTGAAGGATGTGGTGTGTTCTTATTTTTCTTCTTGGTTTTTTGAGGCATAGTTTGTATGTAACCTGTATTGGCCTCAAACCTCCAGCAGGCCCCATTCCTAAACCTCTCAGTGCTGGAATTATAGGCATGAGTTTTCTGTTTTGTTGGGGGTTTTGTTTTTTGAGACAGTGTCTCCCTGTAGCCCCAGCTGGCCTGGAACTCACTATGTAGACCAGGCTGGCCTTGAACTCACAGAGATATGCCTGCCTCTGCCTCCAGAGTACTAGGATTAAAGGCATGTACCCGGCTTGGATGTGAGTTTTCTGACTCTAAGGATCCAGTGTTTGGGCACTGCACAATTGACCCAAGTTATATTAGTATAATTTTATCATGCCAAGCATGAGAAGAATACCCTAAATATCCCCATGAGAAAAGAAACACATATAAACTCCCAGTATTCAGAGTGATCTGGAACTTCCCAGTGCCAACACTGGAAACCAAATGTTCTAAAATATCCGAGCCACTTGTCTTCAGAATCATCATGAAAACAAATAACTTCGGCCAAATCATCAAATAATTACTATAGCGCCATAAAAGCCTCACTTGTAAAGTCTCACAGAGTTTATCTCAAATATAATCATTCTTGAAAGCTGAAGACAGAGGATTCAAGCCAGATGGTATGAACATCATGCTCCATCAAAATAACTGCACACAACAATGAGAAGGCTCCGCTGGACCAGCAATATGGGGCTTTAGGAAAACAGTGGAGCTAGGATGTTGCCAATGTGCATGACCCTATTGAGGTGACCTTTTCTAATTCTGTCAAAGAAGTTGACTAAGGCCTTGTGACAAATGAAAAAATAAAGAAAATAAGACCACAAAGTGATCATTTCCTCCAAAATAAAAATGGGTCACATGAGAAAGCAATTATTATCTGTCAGGAAATAATATACATTATTCTAATTTAAATGAAGGCTATTGATTCAGTCAAAATTTGAAATATTACCATGTATAAAAGAGAAAAAGAAAAACTTGTTGAAAAGGGAGCTGTGTGGAACACAAACACTAAACTTCATTGCCTTAGAATAAACTCAGTCGATAATGTCAAAGTCAGAAGATGAGCAGTTAGAAATACAGAGATAAATGTAAGATGATATTGCCTAAACTGAAAGTGGCTTTATTTGGGGAGCCGGAAAGAGTGGGAAGATAGGTTTGGAGAACTGGATTTTGTTGCTGCTCTTTCTACTGTGATTCATCTTGCAGTAGTGTTAGTCTCTTAAAATTATATACATAAAGTATTTGGATAAAAATGAGAAATTGGTCCTGGGGCACAAGCCTATAATTCATATATTTGGGAGACTGGGAAATCTCATAAATTCATAAACCTTGCTGAGCTGCAGAAGAGGTTCAAGGCAACCTCAGCAATTTAGCAAAACCCTTTGTCAAAGGAAAAAGAAAAAAAAAAAAAGGCTGAGGGTATCACTCGGTGGTATGGTACTTATGTAGCATGCCCCAGGCCCGCTTCCATCTAATTCAAAATGGGGTTAAAATGAACTATTTTAGGTTATCGATTAACAAATATAATTTATGAAAAAATTCAATCTTGAAAATGTATGTGTATGAAATACTATATGTATAGCTATGTATGCCCACATATATACATTAAAAGAAAAATAACTAAAAATAAACCAAAATGTTCACCTTACTTAGTCTATGAGAACATGGCTTATTTTTATTTCAGACATGAAGTTGAAACTGGGCATGTTGGGGAGACATGAGGAGAATTGGAGGGGCAGATAGGGGTAAATGTGATCATATTTCATTGTATACACATATAAAATTTTCAAAAATAAAGGAAAACATTTTCAGTCCATATTATCAGAGCCTTCTATCACAAGTGTAAAATGAGGGGAATGGAGCCCTGGTACAGCTTTTAGAGGCTCAGGTTCCCACCTCAAAAGGAGAGAGTGAAGGGCGTTGTTTTCATGTAGACAGGTATTTCTATCATTAGAAAAATGAGTTGCCGTGTTTGAGCAGCATGTGAGTACCATGTTTCTTACGTTTCCCACCCTCTCGTTAAACCAACAGCTGGTGAAACAGCTCCATCTCTACTGTTTGAATACGTTCATCCAGTCCCGGGCACTGGCTGTTGAGTTTCCAGAAATGATGTCTGAAGTTATCGCAGCTCAGTTACCCAAGATTTTGGCCGGGATGGTGAAACCTCTTCTCTTTCATAAAAAGTGAATGTCATTATGTTTCTTCCAGAAAACTAAGTTTTGTGATATGTCTTTTTTTGTTGTTTGTTTCAGTTGGGATGATGAGGTCTTGAGTTTTTATAATGTTCTGAAAGCCTTACATTTATAACATACCATACTGGGTAAATTTCTGAGAAAAGTTCAAGATTCTAATTTTCCTTTATAATGCTTAAGTAGGGTTTTCAAGCGTTTTGTGTATCTATATTTTCTTGAAGAGTTTACAAAGGACTAAATTTGATTGTTGCAGTAAACTATATCTCATACATATTATTTCATACTTTTTAAGTGAGAATTTTTAACTTTTGCATCTAGCAAATCCACTTTAGACGAGAAGAAAGCCTTTGCATTTAACAATAAAAATCAATTGCATATGCTAATTCTAGGTACTCCTTTGGTCTCCCTGACTATATTTCCAAAAATGAACCTTTAAAATGGAAGCCAAAATGTGGACACCTTTGTGATGAGAAAATTCATAGCCTAAAACAGATTTTTAGGTGTTTTTAATAAGAAAAAAGTACAGAGCTTTAAAACACTGAAGTGGGTGACTGTTTCTGAAACCAGCAGAGCAACTCTTATGTTAAAAGGAAGCCCCACTGGAAACAGGTTGGATTTCTAATGCTGTTACTAAGTAGCTAGTCCATTGTTGCAACACTATTCAGAGGCTTGTGGGGTTGTAGCAGGATGTCCGCAGTATTGTGAGTGGATGTGAAAATCAGAGTCTGTGCTCCCGAACTGCCATTGGGCTCCTTTCTGCATGTGGAAAGTGGGTCAGACTTTCTAGTTGATTTCCTTGCCTTTGGGAGTGAGTGGTGTGATGGCATCTCCACTGCCAAATGCTTCTTTTGGCTGGATCTTATTAACATCTTATCAAAGCAAAGAAGGGCAAAGGGGAAGGAGAAAGGAAGAGAAAGAGGGAGGGAGGGAGGGAGGGAGGGAGGGAAATACTATTTTTCCTTTCAGTGCTCACACAACTGGGGATAGTGTTCTTTATTAGGGAACTGTAGTGAGTCTCAGGTTGAAAATATTTTTAGTGCCTCTCTCCAAATCTGAAAAAGATGGTTCAGATATGCACAAGTCTCAGGTAGAAAATATGGAGTGCCTATGACTCAACTCCAAGAGTTACTTTAGGAAATACTAGATACTGGCTTAAAATAATATAACCAATTGCAATGATGATAAAAGACATAACTCATTTTGTTATTTCAACCGCAGTTATTCCTTTGAAAGACAGACAAGAGTTCTTTTCTGGGGTGTCACTGGAGAGTCATTATTTAAAACAAAAAGAATATATATGTGTATACACACA